TTGGGGAAAGGAATCAAGGCATTCTTGTACAGGCTGTGCTAAAATGGAACAGGTCATTTACTATTAACTCTTATACATTTAGACAACATATCTCTACAAAAATCTTAAAATGTCAATGGCCAAGATTGAAAGGAAGAGAAGTCATCATTTAAGGGAAATGAGAAAGAAATAAAAAGCCAAAAGTAATAAGCAGGATTAGGTGGTTTATGAGGGTGATGAACCCTCTAATGGATTTTAATGCCCACATGAGTTCAACAGCCATATCTTAGGCCTAATTCAAGGTGAGGACCCAAAACTGATCCGGCTTCTTAAAGCAACAATTTAAAGGGATTGCTATGTCTATGAAATGGGGATAGAAAAATCCTACTCATAAGCCCTAACCTGTGCCACCATATTTGAGGGGACACAAAGTTACACAAGTGGAAAAGGAACTATAATCCAAGAACTGAACATCAAAATTGGTGTGGGAAACTGTAGGGCCTTGGTTGAGAACAACATGAAACTCTGGTAAGGCATTTCTACTATTTAGGACACAAAAATAAAAAAAGCAAAAATATGAAATTACAAGTACATAAGAAAACAAATCATTGTGCGAGGCAGTAGATGACTGTATAAAGAATTAGGATGTCAAGAACTGAAGAGAGTAGAACAATCCAAAAGAGAGTATCAAACAAGCAGACTGGAAATTATTAAAGGAGAAAACTATAAGAAAGAATAGTATGAAAGAAGAGCAGATGAACTTGAAAAGGAACCAAAAGAATTTCTAGGACATGAAAAATACAGCCACTGAAAAACAAAACAAAACAACCACTCTCTGTTTGTTAATCAACAGATTAGGCATAGAGAGATGGAATGGATGATGAGGTGATCCAACATAAGTTTAACAGGAGGTTAGGGAGAACAGGGAAAAGCAATATTCAAAGAAAAAAAAATGGCTGAAAATTTTTCTATAATTGAAACATAAATTCAATAATCATAATGAATCCTATGTGGGATGATTCAACAAACTATGGTATATTCATTTAATAGGATTCTAATCAGCCATTGAAATGGGTGAATTATATCTAACTGTATATTTAGGGATAAATCTAGAAAAGACAATATTGAGTATAAAAAGTTTATAAAGATAGAGTATGATATTAGATATGCAACTATAAAGATACTGTGTGGTGATTACAGAGACATTTGTAATCACACCAAATGCAGTTTAATGGGGAAAAGAGAGAAAATATATTGGGATTGAGAAGCACACAAAAAGGGGCTTCTACTCCATCTGTCATATTTTATTTTTAATGTTAACATTTGTTAGCTCTGAAAGTGGGAATATGGTTTTATTGTTACTCTCTGAAAATTTTCTCTAAAAATGTTTCATTAAAAATAAGTTGCTCTTTTATTTTTGAATTTTAATATTACATCTTGTTACACAATCTGTAAAATAGTATTAAAAACCCTTGCGTAGTGAGACATCTATACGGATAAATTCTAAAGAACTGTTTAGAGTCAGAAATATTCTAACACAATTTCAATGCCTCAAAAGCACTTGGTGTTGTTATTTGTAGTTGCACCTAATATCTGATAGTCAAAAACACCATAGCTTCAGAAGCAGTGGTTGTAAGAAGGTATCACATTAGCACCATGATTCCTGCATTTATTACAATATATTGCTCACTCTACACCAATCATTGTGTAAGGACTTTTCTTTTCACATGCTTATTTAATCCTCCCAACAGTCCTTTAAATGAAATAGGTAGGTTTATTAGTTCCATTTTACACATTATTTTCACTTGATAATTGAGGCACAGGGAGATTAAGTAACTTGCCCAAGGAAACAGTAGACTCAAGCCCAAGCAGTCTAGCTCCAAAGCTCAGTTCTTTTATTTTTAAACAATATATTTTTATTGAGTTCAGAGAGGGAGAGGGAGATAGAAACATCAATAATGAGAAACATCAATGATGAGAGAACCATTGATTGGCTGCCTTTTGCACGTCCCCTACTGTGGATCGAGCCCACAACCCAGTCATGTACCCTCGACTGGAATCGAACCTGGGATCCTTCAGTCCAAGGCCGATGCTCTGTCCGCTGAGCCAAACCAGCTAAGGCCAAAGCTCAATTCTTACCGACTAAATTGGACTAAAAGTTTGTGTGGCCATTTGGGTAAATTGATCTTGCACCTTCCCCGTGAAAACAACCCACCTTAGTCTCTCTCACATAGAGCTACCTGTCTTTTCCCACTAAGACATTTTTCCTACATTCTCATACTCTCCTCTCTTCTTAAGCATAGGAAATGTGAGCAATTAAAATACAAAGGGAGGGGGGGACTAATAGTTTTGGGGAGAAATACTTAAGCTCTGAAGTTGCTACTGGAATGCCATACTTAATAAATTTCTGGGGGTAGTTAATTTCTGGGTCGCCTCCATGGCATTATTTATTTGGTGGAATATTTGCGTGACCATCCGAACACAGGATTTACATTGTTTCAGAATAAAAATGTTAAAGAATTGGTTATATTTGGTGTCAATAACAACTTATTTTTGAAGCTATCTATATTAGCAGTTTTCCTAAGTAGTAATCTAAGAGACAGTATAATGAAGAGAATAGTTGGCATTTATAAGATATTTTAAACTTATGGTTTTAGTTAATTGCCTAATATTTAAAAAATAAACTGAAATTTGATTGATTGTATAACTTTAATACTTGAAAATTTTTATTCAGAAGTTAACAACTTAATATAATACAGATTTGTACAAAAAACAGGAACCGTTAAAAACTTCCGATCATACAGACAAAAATATGACTAATTAAAGATTAAAAAAGGACAGGACATTTTGTAAATATTGTAATGCTTTAAGTTACTGTGGCATATACAAAAATCAAGAATTCATTAACAGTGTATATAAAAAGCAACTATATGAATTTTTAGCTGTTTAAATTAACGAAATAGAACAGTAGTGGTATTTTTCTTAAAAAAATGAGGTATTATTACACTGTAAACCAAAAACAGCATAAATAAATAAAGGCAATGTGCAATTAAGTGATACATGGTTATACATTTTAACTAAACAAACAACAAAAATTTTCCAGTTATTTATGGACTTTGTCATTTAAAAGTCTGGCTGATTGTGTACTTCTTATTTAAAAGTGACATAACTATCAATAAACAAGCACATCACTAAACATGCAGACCAAGCCAGTACAATTTTCCATCTCTACAAAAAAACTTTGTTTACATTTTACTTAAAACACTTAAGTCTGGTTTCTTATACATGATTCTTTTGTGCTTATTAGTTAGTAGTAACCTACATTAAACATCTTGCTTTCTAGTTCAAGCAGTGTAATAGGGAAGCAGTTTTATTTGCATATGGATTAAAAGCAGAGCAAATAAAATAAAACCAACATGTCTTTAACTCCCTTAGGCTTTCCAAGAATTTTAAGAAAATCTTTAAACAGTATATCCAAATGAAAAAGCAGAGTCACGTATGTTTCCAAGAGAATAATAAACCAAGGAGTAACTCCCTTTCCTTAAAGATTTATGGGTTGGCTTCAGAACTGCAGGAAAACAAACTGATGAGTTCCTCCACCCTAAAAGAATTCTGCTGGTTGGGTGCAGGAAGCATAGCAGTAAGAAAATAACGTAGCTCAGAAAAAATCGTGGGAAGGTATTATTTGCGTGAGAACTAGATGCTGGTACTAAATGCTGGCTTCATTATTATTGCAAATATATCTTCAGAGTTTTCTGAAATAAAACTATCCAAGAATAATAGAGAAGTCTTGATCAGGAAATATTTGTAGCATGCTAATAAAACTGCTTCATTTGCTATAAATTAAGAAAACCATTTACTGTCTGACTTAAAATACAGTTTCTTTTTACATGCTCCTTTATTAGAAACTCCAAAAAGGGTACTTTTGAATTTCCTATATTCACAATCCAGTGAAAAACAGAACATTTTGGTCAAAATGTTGAACTTGATTTTTTATACAAAGTACATCATTTTAACACAAATGTTATTATTGTATTATTCACTTTTGTCAAATATTTTATCCTAAGCTTTTCTAAAAATTAGTGTTGCAGTACAACTGGTGATCAAAAAATATTAGAAATAAGCCTTGTACATCAATCAAAGTATATATCAAACAGTTATTTTCTTTTGTGCTTGTAACTGACTTAATTTATCAATGATTAGTCATCTGATTTCTGTTCTAATATCCCATCCCTTAAGAAGAAATCATTATTATACAAATATTACATTATACTTAAAGTAACTAGTGCCAAAGTGCATGCAGACTAACATTAATTAAAAGAATATAACCTGAATCCAATTAATCTGAAAATAGTTACACTCTTGTACAATCGTCTTTATTGATTTGTAAAAGCTGTATACACATCTAAAACCCTGAATTTACTTTGTAAAAATAAATCTTTAGCAATAAATGGCACTATCAAAATCCCATTATTCTCAGGCTATTATGGAGTTATTTACATGCTTTTCAGCAACAGTTGAATCTTATTAAGATGAAAGTCAGTATATCAAAAAACCCTGTATATTGCATTTGCAGTTATACTTTTGTTTACCTCTATATGAAAATATGGCTACATGCCTTACATGAATGATAATGCAGCTATCTGTGTTGCTACTGTGTCCTGCAGCATATAATCTGCCAGTAGGTCCCACTGTGCCATCCCATGGGTGCTTGCTTTATGGCACGCTGCTCCCCAGTGGAACACTTGCGACAAACTATGTATGGAGAATGATAAAGTGCTATAAAAAAGAATGACTGAACCCACCTATCTCTGCCATCTTGTCTTTTCCCCACTCAATCAAGGTCTGAGTTTTTAGAAAATTATGCCTCCACTAACATATTCATATTTTATTTAAAAAAAATCAGTATTTTAAAGTTGGTGATCGTTGTCAAGGTGTTTTGAGACAAAAACATGAAAGGTTAAAGGCACAATAAGAGGGAAGTAAATGCTACATATAAAATATGTTTCAAGTCTTCTAGGTTACTCAAGTCCAAAACCTTCTGAATTTGAAATTCCAATGATCAATTTCTGTTTCAGGTCCTTTTTGCTCTTGTAGGGGGGAAGACAAAGTTGATTGAAGCAGGTATGAGCCACAGGCAACCTAGGAAAAGAAAAATATTTTAAAAGATACTAAGCCTTAAAACATACGCAGAATGCCTGCTGAGCAACATTCAAAATACCATTCAAATATCTCACTTTCCCAAGAGATGACTCATTATTTCCTTTAGTGAACAAATAATAAGGACCTACTATGTGTCAGACACACTTCCAGAAATGGGACTAGGGTTATAGACAAGACAGTCAGCATCTCTGGTCTCATCACTTCCATTCTGGAGGCATTATTTTTGGATTCAGACAAATCTGAATTTGAATACTGTCTCCCTCACTTACGAGCTGTCATTTGTTCAAATGGCTTCATGTTTCCAAATCTCAGTTTTCTCATCATCATGATTTTGTAAACTATCCAATTAGGTTGTTTCAAAGATTAAAAGAGCTACCTATATAAAACATCTAGCAGAATAGAAGATTACTATTACTATTACTATTATTTCAATCTTGACTGTAAGAAGAAACAACAACAGAAATTTTTTGAGACACTTGCTATCCATACTTCTATTGTTGCTGTCCTCAATGCTCATGTAATATTCATTCTCTGACACCTTGTGATCAGCTCCCCCAACCTCTACTTGATGACATTGTCATCTTCAAGATTTCTAAAGGTTTCTTAGACTCTTTCCTTCAGTATTTATGAACTCCACACCATCAGAATATTTGTCAGTGATAGCAGTGGGAAAGGACAAAATCCAGTTCAAGAATGAAAAGAACTGAGAGAACTCAGGAAATATATAGGGCAGCAGGAAAAATGATTATAATCAAAGTAGTGGCTACTCAAATCAGCTTTAGAAATTACAGGTTAGGAAAAGAAATAGATCAACATTATTAGAAAACTGGAGGCCCAGTGCACGAACTTTGTGCATGGGGGGCAGGTCCCCTCAGCCCAGCCTGCACCCTCTCCAATCCTGGACCCCTCGAGGGATGTCTGACTGCTGGTTTAGGCCCGATCGGGATTCCTCTCACAATTCAGGACCACAAGCTCCTAAATGTTCACATGCCTGCCTGCCTAATTGCCCCTAACCGCCCTCCCTGCCACCCTGGTTGCCCCACACAGCCTGCTGTTCAGTCGTTTGGTTGCCCCTCAGTAACCCCCCGATGGCCTTGCCGCCTCACGCAGGCTGCTGTTTGGTCATCTGTTCGGTTGTGATGGTCCCCGGCTTTTTATATATTAGGATAATTTAAAGCCATCATAATCATCAAAACTTTCATATGCAGAGAGCATTAGACTAAAAAGAAAGAGGATTAATACTAGAGGTACTTCTAGTACTAGAGGATCTCTAGTAATTATTAATAGAGGATCTCTAGTACTATTAATAATAGCCAAACCCCCATCTTAAAAACACCTTTAGATAAAAACGAGGATTAGGCACTATACTACTAAAAGCAAACTAGTCCCATAAGAGATCATAAGGCAGTAGATTTAGCAAAGCAGAAAGTTATTGGAAAGGGGTTATTATCAGTATTGGTATGTTTGAAAATTAATAGAGGGCCTGAAGCCACAGTCTCTCTCATTTAAAGGCCATGTTTACTCCCAAGGTTTTTCTATGAAGATGACTTCAGAATGAAAGAATCCTCTAATTATAAACATTATTAGCAAAACTTATAGATTAAAAATAAAACTTTAATCTGGAAATTTTACCAATTAGTAGAAGTTTCGTTCTTTGAGATTTTAAAATTCAAATCTGCCATTCCTCCTACAGGGACTCTGTCACTTCCTGTAGTAAAATGTAGCAACTTCTTTTGAAGATCGAGAGGAAATCCAAGCACAACATCCCAAAAGTATCTGGAGAACACCAAAGGAAATTTATATGAATGTCTTGAGGATCAGAAGAAAGCAGCAATTTTCAACCAATGTGCTGCAAGAATTTTTAAAATATGCAATACTTACTCAGCTTTAGGGGTATGACCTTTTTTCCCCTAGACTGTCAAATAAAGAAATGACAACAGCCAACACAATAGCTAACCAGTATGAATGAATCAAAATTATACCTATTTTTTTTTTAGATCAGCAAAAAGCTAGAATTTTAGAAACTAGTTTATGTGTGGCATGGCATGAAAAAGGTTGAAAATTGCTGGAATAAAGTAACATAAAAGTAAGCTCTAAGAAAACAAAACTTCCCTAAACATACATAGTACTCTTACTATGAAATTAAGGAAGGACAAGCTTCTATATATGAACTAGAGGCCCGTGCACAGGGGGCTGCGAGGTGGGGGCTGGGGGGGGGGATGGGGTGTCTCCCCTCAGCCCGGCTTGCACCCTTTCACAGTCCAAGAGCCTTCAGGGGATGTCTGAATGATGGCCTAGGCCAGTGGTTGGCATGTTCAGTCAACAGAGCCAAATATCAACAGTACAATGATTGAAATTTCTTTTGAGAGCCAAATTTTAAAAACTTAAACTTCTTCTAATGCCACTTTTTAAAAAAATTGACTGGCCCAGGCCGTGGTATTTTGTGGAAAAGCCACACTCAAGGGGCCAAAGATCCACATGTGGCTTATGAGCCACAGTTTGCCGACCACAGGCCTAGGCCCATGGGGAGTAGGCTTAAGCCGCAGTCAAACATCCTTAGTGCTGCCGAGGAACGAGGAACGCTATGAGCCCAACTTGTGGCTGAGCAGAACTCCCCACTGTGGGAGCGCACTGACCACCATGGGGCAGCTCCTGCATTGAGCATCTGCCCCCGTGGTCAGTGTGTGTCATAGTGACCTGTCATCCCACTGCTCAGTCCATTTGGATATTACCCTTTTATTACATAGAATTAGGTTTTTGACTAACTTTATTATAAAAATAAATTTTTATAAAATTATAAAAGTGGCCCAAGAGTGGATAGGACAACAGCCAGTTTTCTCCCACATAATTTTTCTTATTTTTCAACACATTTGCTATTCAAACCCTATTTAGATGTGTAGTATCCCTGCAAATCCAGAACGAAAGTCAATTTTTGAAAAGTAAAATTTCTATACTTTTGTAGAAACTTATTTATTCCCTCCTCAGAAATTAAGTAAGGTGATGTGGAACTCCACAGTAGTTCAGCTGACTGACTTGATCCTGAGATTGTAAATTACACAAGAAAACGAAACCACTTTGTCTCTCATCCCTTCTTCTGCAACCTCGCTACCTTATAGTCGAGTCGGTTTTTGCGTAGCCGTCATACTGAGTACTTCTCTGCAGAGCATGCATGTCCAGTTCAGGGCTTCCGCACACCAGGATTTCAACCTCTTCTGGGCGAAGCAGCTGCCAATAATTATTTACCCAACAGGACAATAAAATGTGATAATTTTAAAAAGTGAAATGGGAACTATTTTCACAGAATCAAACTACAAAAATCATGACTTACAGTAAATCATTTAAAAATTATCCATTTATAATTTCCCTACTGAGGTAAGATATTTTTGCTTTCAAAAGTTTCATAAATCTTGTCAAACTACTAAGGCTCTCTCTTCCTTTTGCAAACATTAATTGCAGTTTGCCAGAAAAACAAGCAGATGACAAAAACAAACATGAATCCAAATTACAGTTCTTCCCTCAAACCCAGCTTGAAACTGTCTCAGCCTTTACTGATCTGCCTGCCTCCTTCCAATACCTCCACATCCCTTCCCCCCGGATGTGTGCACTGTAGAGTTTAGGTACTTGGTTACATACAGTCTGCTTGTGTTACTCACTAGTTTTATTACCTACATATTGTCTTCCACTTAAGGAGATTAAAACTGAAAAAGGAAAACCAATTTTCCATTTAATTAATGCCATTTAATTCCTTTTCTCCTCCCTCCACCCCCGCAATTACCAGTGTGTCACAGACAAAACTCAGTTTTCAAAGGTCCTTTCAACAATACATGTGACAAAGGTTACTGTGAAACCAGCTCTCTTCTATGAAAGTAATTCAAATGAAAGAGCTTACTCCAAACTCTCATAATAAACCTGAGGGAAAATAAAAGTGGCGTGATAGTGTGTGCCATGGATAGCTGGGGTGAAGAGCACCAGTTCTTTAGAAAACAATGCTTTTATTTTATATTTTCAACATTGAGTTCTAGATAGAGGCTGCTCCATGTTCACATGCCTCAGATAAGGCAAACATGACTTATCTACCCATCATGACTCTGGAGACAAACTACTTTTTCTGGGTAAAAGACAACTCAGTTGTCAAGGAATTCTTGAAGCAACAGGAAGCAGTTATAAATATGTTCCTTAGTCAATAAGAGGTGGCTTTAGCCCCCCGAGCTTATGTGTTAACTGTTTTCTGTGCTTTGCCCCTCAGTATTAAGACCTTGAGCGCACAGGATTTCTTCATCCACTCCGCTTGGGGGAATTTTTTAAAGCCCTAAAAGACATAGTATAAGACATAGCACAAGGGGAGAAAAAAGGAGCTGACTGGTCCTTTTTCCCTTCAGAGGGTTAAGGCTGAAACGGGAGAACAATTTTTATTTCTGGCTCAACCTTTAAGAAGTAGAAAACATTTTCTATTTTAAAAGCTTATCTACTAAAATATCTAAGGAATTATTTTTCAGTTATTATCACACTGTAAAACCTAACTGAAAGCACAATTTAAAGATTTAAACTCACCATAAGGGCATTTGAAGCACACACACTATGAAATCCATAATAAAATGCAGCGAACTGCTTATAGATGGATTTGTTGAGAAGAAAGTCAATATAAAGCTGTACATATTCTGAAAAGCAATTTTCCATTGTTACATAGTAAAAGTAAAAGGTAAACAATAATGTATTTGAATTAAGAGAAGATATGTAACTTACCTTTCCTATTTTGATTGGTAACTGGAATTTTTTCACCACCTGGCTTTAAATTATAGGACTTAATTATTCCAAATTCTTCCTGAAAAACCTGATGGGAGAGTCCATAAGAAATTTATTGGTATGGTTAATATAACAGGCTTTAGTGAACAGCTTTGTAAAATTTAAAACAATTTTTCTCCATCTTTAGTACAAATCACATGCCTTGCCAGGTAAAAAAGTAGGTCTTTAATTTAACCCCCTCTATTAAATGTTGAACACTCTACTGATATTCACAAAACACCTGTGGCCATTTAAGTGTTTTGGAGCTATATGGTTTACTTTAATTTCCATTTTCCAATTATTGGTAGGTTCCAGAGTGGAAATGAGTTTTGATGAATTTTTTTTAAGCACTTTCATCAATTGCTCCTTCACCTGTGTCTTCATTGTCTATTTCATCAGGTTAAGATCTTCTATAATAGGAGATACTATTGCTATGTGTTGACTAACCCTCTTCATCTTTTCTAATAATGGGTTTTTCATAACAAATGGCATTTTTCATATATGAAATACATGGTTAACAGAAAGCTATTTGTACCTGGAATGTTGAGTAGAAATCTTCCTCAACATTGCCCTCATATGACAGGAGTTCACTTAATCCACGGGCCAGCTCCTATAAAAAAGAAATCTATTATCTGTGGTTTTAAACCAAATGGTCTTACCTACATGTGAGATAGAGCAGATAAACTTTCATATGCTCAGATCTGCTACATTCAGGACTGTAGACCTTTTTACCTCAGTCTTTGCATTTTCAAACCCCAATTTTTGTTGAGAACTGTCTTTATCAATACTGTCAATCTTAGACCCTCACCTCTAATACACTAGCTCTAAAATATTTATCACCCTTCAGTTAAACATTCAAAATGATTTTTGTAAATGTATAATTAAATAAACTGTGTGAAGTTACAGAATAGTAATTTTGCACAGTTTGAATACCCTGGTCTTATTTAATACAGCATATTTGAGAGTAGCTTAGCAGAAGAAAAAAAGAGTACAGATACTAATTCTAGGTTATATTGCCTCTCCTCTGTTTTCAACATAAACCCTCCAGTGTAATTCTCCTAAGACTGTGGGGAAGATTTCTTATTGTTTTTTTTTTTCTGGACAATTCTGTTGCTCCAAGTCATAGCTCACCTCTCAGAAAAGCAGTGGAAAATGTGTCATTAACATGGTCATGGAAAATTACCGCATTTATTAAAACCATATTGAGGTCTCCATTGAGGAATATTTTGATTACTTTCTTTTAGTCCTGTAGTCACAGATGTTTTTATATTAAGAAGCTTATCTACTATATGTTTCTCTTCAATTTCCTATTCCCTCTTCTTGAAAACAGGGTATACAAATACATATGATAAAGAATTGAATAAAAAAGCAGTTAAAAATTTTAGGGTATATTTTTACCATCTATGAAATGGAAGTTAGGTGCCAATTTTAATAGGTACTTTTAAAATTAATGAATAATCAATTTATAAAACATTTTTAAAAATTCCCACATTCCACCATCCTAACACAGCAGCAATTTTCCTGTTTGCTTTCAATCTTTATTGATGCATGTACAGAAACAGTTTTTTCAATAGTCGATCTCATAGTATAGGCACAATCTGGATTTGTTATTAAAGAGCTATTAAAAGAATATAGACTCAGGGAAATCTTCAGCTCCATAATATAAAACAACATATTGGTATTAAGTCATTTATAAAATATCCATATTTTATTAAAAATATAAAAAATCTGGGTCTAAATGAATCAAAATTAAAATAGCTTTAATCATAGAATTGGGCAATTTAGTGACAAAAATCACTAATAAAATTAGGAAATTTATCAGTAAAAGATTTGGCAAAAACTAAATAAGTGGGGCAAAAAACATCCCAAAAATATAAAATGAGACAGTAACTCAGATATTAGTCTATTTCCATTGTTTTATAGATAAGAAAATTAAGGGACTCATCCAGGATCACAGCCAAGTACAGTATGTTGCAGAGACAAGACTATAGAAGATATCTCTTAATCAGAGCCTGCTCTATTTTGCAAGCAGTAAAAAATATAAGGGATTGTCAGGAGGATGTGCATACTATCTGTTTTTCTACTAAATTTTTACCTTAGATTAAATTTGACCAGAAATCTAAATTTTGAACTGAGGAATATTATGAGACAGTCCCATGAAGTTCATGTTGTATTGTCTTAAGAGTTGTTGTTGCGTTACACGGTTAACAATACTGCACAGTATCATCTTAATAAGGATCCATAGAAGTAATCATTAATAAGTTCTTTCTTATCTCCTGCAATCTCCCAAATACATGAGTTTTACTATCTCATTATTCATATAAGGAAACTAGAGCTCAGAAACTTGAAACAACTTAGCTAAGTTCACAGAGCTAATAAGTGGCAGAGCTTGGATTCAAATCTCTGTATCTCTGACTTCAAAGCCTGTTGTCTATGGTATAAGAGCTGAAGAGTGCTGCAAAGTGTCTCCACAAGAAAGGAGAAATCTAGATAAAAAGGAGATGGGTTACAAAAGTAGAGAGAAACCATATTTAAAGATAAGAATAGCATTAGAAGGAGAAAGACTATGCAAGTAGAGGATGCTAACATTAAGGAATACGATGCTAGTAGCTTTATACTTACAGGCATAATTTGACTTAAGTCATCAGTGGTGACACTGCAGATGCCCACTGGTGTATTTTGATCACTAGGAACGATGGGAGGGCTCAATAATTTCTTGTAACAGCAGGGGGGGAAACGAATATCCAGTGTAATGCTGTTATAAACAGCTAATCCCATAAGCTATGCATACTAAATGTTAAGTATTAACATAAAATCCATGACAGCAAATGAGTTTTAAATTATGCATCAGTCTGTTTCTTGTATATTTCTTTCAGATCTAATACTGACTTTAAAAAAAAATACTGATTTCAGAGAGGAAAGGAGAGTGAGAGATAGAAACATCAGTGATGAGAATCATTGATTGGCTGCTTTCTGCATACCCTATACTGGAGATTGAGCCCACAACCCAGGCCTGTGCCCTTGGCCGGCAAACCTGGGACCCTTCAGTTCTATCCATTGAGTCAAACCAGCTATGGCTAATACTGACTTTTTAATGAATTGCCACATACTCCTTTCCTTTCATTTATTTCCCTACATAATTCTTTGATTACCAAGTCATGTAAAAAGGAGGGAATTAGTTGATAGTATTTATGATTTCCTTAGAAAAGTTTAAGATCACAACAGATAACAGTTTCACACATATCCCAAAATTAATATATAAGAATCATTTTTAAAATTTAAACAAAGATAGTGACTTTATAAGTAGTAGCAGCAATTTATTTAGAACTCACTGAAGAACATACTACTAATTTTGGTGACCATTTTATCTATTTTAAAATTAAATACAGACTAAAGAGACCTGAGTTGAATAAACGTATGGATACACACAGAGACATACATACTGTTGATTAGCTAACAGGACAATTACTCTCCTATGGTAATATCTGAAAGGCCTTTAATACTTGAAGTTTACTCAAAGGGTTAAAGTTAAAACCTACAGATGTGTTATATATATATATATATATGCACTTTGCCCAGTTATATGTTAAAAATATTCTTAATTGATTTCATAGAGGAAGGGAGAGATAAAAACATCAATGATGAGAATCACTGATCGGCTGCCTCCTGCACAATCTTTACTGGGGATCAAGACTGCAACCTGGGCTTATGCCTTGATCGGGAATCAAACTGTGACCTCCTAGTTCATAGGTCAATGCTCAATCACTGAGCCTCTGGGCCAACTGTGTTTTATCAGTTATATGGCAGAATGTAACATACATTTACTGAAAGAGGGGTTTTATAACAAATTTCATATTTCAACTATCAAAGATTATTATATCAAGTTATTAAACAGAAGTTATTCTTTTTGTAGGCTCAAAAGGAAATCTTATTGTATGGGCTGGACAAATTCCTGTGAACAATTTAAAACATTAGAAGATAGCCTGTATTTCAATTTGCTAAGACAGAATGAGGTTAATAACTTAAGGAACAGATATGCTATTTTATTGGTAACCAAAGTAACAGACTGAGCAGTGTATGCAAGGGACAGATACTGAAAAGAAGTCCTAATATATGTCTTTAATTGTGATATAGCAATAATGGCAATAACCGTAATACTACTGTAGTTATATTTATGAGTATTCAACACTTTAGAGACAAGTTCTATGCACTTTTCATTTTAAAAAGTTCTTTTAATTATAATTTAACAGATGAGGAAGTAGCCTTACAGGATTTGCTACAGGAAACTTGCATTCGCACTAAAACAATGTGCTCTGGTTGAAGCAGGAATGGGGATGAGGTGTCATGTGCTATAAACAGAGTTTGAAAAGCCTGCACTGTACTACACTCTGAGTTCCAATGGCCCTTGTGATATAAGCATCATATTTTAAAAAATTGTTATATCATCATGCAGTCTTCAAATTTTTTTATTATTATAGGTTTCTCATGTAAATGTCAAAGCCTTAACATATTTAAAAATGAAGTATTAGAACCAACTACATTTTCTCAGTCATTATGCCTATTCTTAATGTTTACTAGTAGTTCTCCTCACCTTCATGATCCACCACTTACATGATCACAAACCACTATTGTTTCACATTTTTTCCTATATGTTCTAATGCTTTTAAGGCATCAGTCTTATTTTCTACAGATTATTTTTGTGTGAGATAAATACACATTAACAATGAGATGTAGTGGTTAGAATAATTTTAGATTTATGGCAGGTCCTTGAATAACATTGTTTCAATCAGTGTTGTTTCATTGTAATGCTGATCAGATGCTGCAGGAACTTAACTCTTGTTTATATCAATTAGCCTATGGTAAAATTGGTTTCGTTATATGTCATTTCACTTAAAGTCATAGAGCCTATTGACAGTGTTAAGTGAGAACTTACTGTAACTGTTTAACTTGAAGTATGGTAAATATGCTTAATATGCTCTTTTGGGTAATGACTGAATAGAAACTAATGTCTATTGTAAAGAAAACAATTAGTGCCTGGCTGGTGTGGCTCAGTGGTAGAGCAATGACCCATGCACCAAGAAGTCACTGGTTCGTTTCCTGCTCAGGGCACAGGCTTAGGTTGCAGTTCAATCCCCAATGGGAGGCATGCAGGAGGCAGCCAATTGATATTTTCATCTCTCTCTCTCCCTTTCCCTCTTCTATCTCTAAAACAATCAATTTATTTAAAAAAAACATTAAAAAAGAAAACAAGCAAATTAATGATTGTATGTACTAGTATAACATTCTAAAATATGATGGTTCAGTAAAATCTAATACTGCAATACAAATATTGCAAAATCAAAATATCACTCAAATGCAAGCTGTGATGAGAATGTAAAGTGTGACAAACATGTATCAGGAAATCCAAACAGTTCATAGTGTAATGAGAAGCACCAGTGACTCAGGCTTTCAGTGAAGTTGAAACATTAACAAATGATTACTGTAAATACAATAGAAACAGAAGTCTGAGGATTGTTAAGTGTTCTGTATTGTGGAACTTGGCACGTTGGACCTTTAGATATGACAATATACACAAAATTGCAAATTGAGTTACCATTTCCATGTGTAGTTTTGTTTCTAGAACCCTCTTTCCTAAGGTTTCTTAGTTTCTGTATACATTTAGTTTCTCAATTTCCATATACGTTTCTCAGGATTTATTCCAACAAATGCAACAAAGATATTAAAAGCTCTCCGTAAGATAGCTCTTTTTAAGAAATATATGTTTCATTGATTTCAGAGAGGAAGGTAGCTCTTAACTCTCCTTCTGAAGCTGTCCTGCATAACACCCAGGGTGCCCTCTGTTTCAGTCAATTGGACCTACACATTGCACTGTAACAAGCGCAGCACAACACAGCCTTTTGTTCTCTTCTGCCTTACTAGCATGTCTGTAAAACTTTTAAAAAAATTGATTTTAGAGAAGGGGGGGGGGAGAGAGAGAGAGAGAAAGAGAGAGAGAGAGAGGGGAAAGGAGGGAGGGAGGCAGGGAGGAAGGGAGGGAGAGAGAGAATCATCAGTGATAAGAGAGAATCATTAATTGGCTGCCTCCTGCACACCCAACATTGGGGAGCAAGCCCACAACCTGGGCATATGCCCTGATCAGGAATTGAACCGTGACCTCCTGGTTATAGGTTGACGTTCAAACGCTAAGCTATGCCAGCAGGGCTGTCTTATTCTTTTACAGACCTGTGTTAATCAGATAGAATGGCTCCATCTTTAAATGTCTACCTTCTATAGAAGGATTATATTTAATCTTTTTCTCTTCAGAATCCTTAGCAATTAATGTCAAGTGGTCATTGGACTATGAGAACTAACTATCTTGCATGTTGGTCATTTGCCCATGTAAATGGTAAACTTCTTAAAGGTGGATAATATTTTCCTCTCTTAAAAAATATATTTTATTGATATTTTACAGAGAAGAAAGGGGAGAGAGAGAGCGAGCTAGAAATGTCGATGAGAAAGAAACATCGACCAGCTGCCTCTTGCACACCCCCCTACCAGGGATGTGCCCACAACCAATGTACATGCCCTTGACGAAATTGAACCTGGGACCTTTCAGTCCCCAGACCGACGCTCTACCACTGAGCCAAACCGGTTTCAGCTATTTTCCTTTTTTAACGTATGTATTTCCAGTGCTTGCTCATTTATTTATTCTTCTATCCTTTCACAATTATGCTTCTTAGATTAAAAAAGCTAATATAAAGGTATCTTGTCCAATTTCCACCCAATACAAGATGCCTTCTCTAGTCAGAGGATGGCACAGGGATTTATATAACTTTAACAATACTTAAAGTAATAATGCCATATACTTTGAATATCCCCAATATTTTTAATTTTTAATTAATACTTTAGGATTTGAGGGGCAGATTAAAGACCTAGATTTAATTTACACAATTTTGATTTGGTAAACTGAGTGAAATAAATTATTTTTCTGTTAGTTGTTTCAATTTGTACTTAGAACAAAAACATTTCATCATGAACAGAAGATACTTTGATTTTTAAGTCTTAATTTTCTGACAAATTAGATAATATATGAAATATAAAATATTTTTATTTTGAGATAAGGTTTTCAAGTAAATATAAAAATTTAGTCATTCCTTTCAATTAATTAAATCTGACATGTAGCTGTGATATTACAAATAATAAAGATTATTGAAAATCTATCAGTAAAGTTGAAAAGCATGCTTAATTTGAATAAATGCTTGAGAACAGTTTTCCAATATTCAGATAAAAATATTTTAAAAATCTCTAGTCTCCTAGCACCTCCTAGTGGAAAGTTTAAAGGATACAATTCCAACCAATCGGAATTCAGAATAGTTATCACATTTAAAGCTGCTAAACCAATGGCAGTGTGAATCTTTGTGATATGTAAACATGCCTGAAAAAAAGAAACATGATTTCATTAGTGTGACTGATTTAAAAATCAGAGAGGTAAATATATATATATTTCATTGGTTAGAAACAAAAAAGTTAGTAATACAAACAATCTCTCATATTAAAAATGTATCAAATATATGTATAGAGAGCATGCATGAGCATTTTACTGTTCATTGGTATCCTGAAACATGGGGTAAAAAGACAGAAAATCAGTTGATTTTCCTTATAAAAACACTAGTTTTATAAGTTATTGGTTATGATCAAAATTAATTTTGAGGATTATGTAGAGATTTCAATTTATCCATGTTATCTCTAATTCCCATTACCAGAAAAATTTTATACACACACACACACACACACACACACACACACACACACTACAAAATAAAGAAAAATAAACACTTAAAACTCTCTGAAGAAAAATAATGATTAGATATGTGTTTTCTCTAAATAAAACCTAAATTTAAATTTCAAATGATTGTCTGTCTTAAAAATTAATGAATTCTTATTCATTAAAATGTCTCATTGTTTAATGAGAGAGGCTTTAAATATTAGTGTAGAAGAGCAAACTAGTTTTTAAAATTTCAAATGTTATTTCAATGACAAATTAAATTCTCATGCATTTGGCTTATTTGGAAAGGAAGTGGATGCGCCCTTGCAAATATATACTTTCAAGTCTTTATTTTGTGTAGGATTCTCAATAAAATAAAATTTGATATCAATTTGGTCAATTTTTAAAATTTAAATAACAGTCCTTAAAAAATTATTCAAGATTTATGGTTGACAAAAAAAATCTGTAAAACCATAAGGTAGATTAAAAATAAGAGGGCCTAAAAATCAAATCTAATTATGAAGAATTAAATTCATAAAAATTAAATACTCACCATAATCTGGATGAAAAATTTGGCGAATTAGAAGAAGGAACCATTCTTTAGTCAAACCACCCATATCCAAACCAGCTTCCCCTACAAATGTAACTTTCAACTTCTTTTTCAAGTCTGCTCCTTTCCGGGTTAACTATTTGAAGAAAGTATATAGTAGAGGAGAACAAATGGCAAAGAAAGGAAATTAACTTTTTTAAAATTTGGGAAATGTGTTAGGTAGTCAGAATTTTATTTACAGTGTCACAAAACACTCATCCACCCACTCATCCACCCATTTATCCACCCACTCTTCCATCTATCTATCCATCATCCATCGATTATCTATCATCCATCCAGTGAATCTGTCGGACACTGTGAACTAGGTATTATTAAGTTTGTTGTATAGCTCAAGAAACAGAATTAGAGAAGGTCAGGTACTTTGTCTCCCAGGTTCATATTGTCTCCAAGATTCTAATTTAGCAGATTATAATATAAAATAATTCATTTCTTTAACTTGCCTTCAATACTAAACTTAAAAAAAAATCACATAACTAAACCAGCCTTTAACTTATAATAGCTACATGCAGATCTGGCTAAGAATTGTACGTGCATGAAGCTCTATAATACATAGTACATAAAATCAAAGTAGGTTTGAACCTTAATTGACCAAATATGCCCTATAGATTGGACTCCTAATTTTATTAGATGAATAATTTGAGGCTTGGCAAAGTTAAAATGACATGTTACACACCCAACCAGTAAGAAAGGTAGGTCTACAGTCTAGGTTAAATGGTTATACATATAGTTGTTCTATATAAAATCCCTTTCTGGGGAATTAACAAACTCTTAATAAATATATGAAAATGGGCTTAATTGTGAATACAGAACTGACTTTAATTATGGTATTAAAATATAAGGAAGCACATTTACTAGCATAGAGAAATAAGGTAGTTTATTAAATCTTTAGAATTATAAAATGTACTTAAAGCTTTAATCAATGAAACCATTTTGAATAAATGATCTATACCTCATCAAGAGAATCACTAACCAGATGTGTCCTCCTTACTTTCATATTTAGAAATAACATATTCATATCAGGTCTCTGTCTTCGAGATACTTTATCCACCAGACTTTGCTAATTGAAAAAGAAAGCAAACATTTTCACTTTTACTTAAATTGTAATTTCACTTAAAACATTTAAACTTTAGTAAAAATCACTTCTATTATTCTTTATATCATATCTCAAATAAATAATTTCATAAACTCAGTTGTAAGAATTTTGATTTATGAAAATGCTCTATTATTTTGTTTTGAAACAATGGTAACCAAAGGGGATCCAAAATGGAGGACCAAAAATAATTCACCAGCAAAGTGTGCTATTTTTAGTTTCCACATATCTCTTTAATAGCAAAGCTTTCTGTTTAATAAATACAAAGCATAGTGTGGGAACATTTGAAACATATACTTCGGATGATAAACTTGGCTTAAGGTTTTTTAAGATACTGAATTACTCTCATAGCATAATTAGTCTACTTTTAGAAAGTAGTTTGCCAGTATTTATCAGAAACATTAATAATGTTCATAATCTTTGTTCCAGTAATTCCTCTTCTAGGAATTACAGAAAATGTTTCATACAGTGAGATGATCATCATAGCATTACTATAAAAGCAAAACTTTAAAAATATACTAAATTTGTATCTATCTAATAGAATATAATACAGCTATCAAAAATGATGATCATAAAAACTATGTAAGTGGAAGATGTTTAAGGAAGACACAACTGAAAAAAAGCAGGGAGCAAAATTGTGGATACAGTTCTTGCCCCTACTAGAAAATATAGATAAAAAATATCAAAAGAACATTTACCAAAATGTTAAAAGTTATGTCTGGGTGATGAAACATGGGTGACTGAAAATATCTATTTTTTTGTTCTTTCAAAATACAAGCAATGAGTATGTAGAAAACAATACATTAAAAAATATAAGGACTATATAAAATATTCTCTATCATATAAAGTCTACATATTTGCATACTTAATTTCTCTAAATCTTTTTCAGACTACCTCTTCTTTAGTAGCAAACTAAATTAATTATGCAGATTAAAGACTTTAATTTCAGACATTTTAAATATATGCAACAATTTGCTTCAGTAGATAAAATTTTAATATCCCCAAATCTCTATGATTAATCCTACTCGTACGATTTAGTAGGTTACTATAATAAAGCATTCTAATTCACACCCTTCTTCATTTCTCCAATTTCTACTACTAAAGGCTTTCAGTAGTTTTTCTCTTCTCTGCGTCCCACTATTTATGCTCAAATTACTCTTTTCTACCTTCTATTCCCAGTCTATACCTCCTGGGAAGCCATCATACTGTAAATGACCCCCCTACACATTATACTAGTATGATAATTGAACATGACAAGGCTCAGTGACTATTCCTCCCATCAGGAATTCATCTATATAATAAAAGCCTAAATGACCATTTCGGTGGAACAGCCAGAATGACCAGTCGCTAATGATGTACACTGACCACCAGGGGGCAGACACTCAGTGCAGGAGCTACCCCCTGGTGGTCAGTGCGCTCCCACAAGGAGAGTGCTGCTCAGCCAGAAATGGGGTTCAAAGCTGGCAAGTGGGCAGTGGTGGCGGGAGCCTCGGAACAGCAAGCCAAGCGGTAAGGAGCAGCAAGCAGGTGGTTGGTAAGGAGCAAGGGATCCCAGATTGTGAGAGGGTGTAGGCTTTACTGAGGGCCCCCAGTTCAGGAATTTCATGCACGGGCCTCTAGTAATTAATAAAAAGTGCTTCAAATGAAAGAAGTAATAGTGACATTTTAGATATAAAATGTAAAAACAAAATACTAAAAAGGTGCATGAAATTGCTTAAATGCAACTAATAAAAAATGTCAAAATGGCCGAAACTGGTTTGGCTCAGTAGATAGAGCGTCGGCCTGAAGACTGAAAGATCCCAGGTTTGATTCTGGTCAAGGGCATGTACATTGGTTGCAGGCACATCCCCAGTAGGAGGTGTGCAAGAGGCAGCTGATCGATGTTTCTCTCTCATCGATGTTTCTAACTCTATCCCTCTCCCTCTCTGTAAAAAAAATCAATAAAATATAAGGACTATATTTTTAAAAAATGTCAAAATGACTAGTTATATAGACTAATCTTTGAGCCAGTATCTACCCAGGATTAAGAATTCTGTGCTGTCAAAACCGGTTTGGCTCAGTGGATAGAGTGTTGGCCTGCCGACTGAAAGGTCCGAGGTTCAATTCCGGTCAAGAGCATGTACCTTGGTTGTGGGCATGTCCCCCGTATAGGGTGTGAAGGAGGCAGCTGATCGATGATTCTCTCTCATCGATGTTTCTAACTCTCTATCCCTCTCTCTTCCCCTCTATAAAAAAACAGCAAAATATATAAAAAAAGGATTCTGTGCTAAATATACCTATTGAATTTTTTTGGAGGAAGGGAGTAGTGTGGCTATGTTCTTGCACATAGTCAATAACATTTCTTCTAATATCCTCATACTTGGTGTAAACTGACTTTGGGATGTTACCAGTCCCTCAAATCTCTTGTCCAGCTCAGTGATAGCAGAAAAGTACTTACTTTCTGGGAACTGAATTACTGAAGAATAAGCAATTCTTATTTTGTATGCAATTTGGAAGTAACATAATTTATGCTTTAGCATTCTTTTTGTATTCTTAGACAAGACATGAAAAGCATTTTTTAATTTTTTTTTTACTGTTTCTTTTTATTTTAAAAAGACTGCAATCAACCTTTCCTCTAATTTTTCAAGTTGTAAGTAATCATGTTCCAAAACCAGTTACTCAGAATATGTGAGCATTTAAGTGTCTAGTCTAAAAGCTCTAATTAAAAAAAGCTCACTTAATCTGACACCGACTAACTAAAGTATATCACTTGATTGTGCTGCGCTGAAACACGAGTGGCAGGGAGTGGTGAGGGCAGGCCAGAGACAAACTCTGTGCTGCCCCATAACTCCACTGAAGCCACCCTGACAGACGCCCCCTAGTTTCTATGGGCCTTGTGCACTTTGGTTTCCTAAGAAACCATAAAACATATTTCACCTTCTTTGGACATATCAGTTTTCTAAGAATACATGTTTTATTATATCTTCTGTTTTTTGTGTTGTTGTTTTTGTTGTTGTTGTTGTTTCTATTTGATTTTCTTAAAACCAAGAAAACATTTCAATGGTTTGCTCTTACGGACACTCCTTGCCCTCACTGTAATTTTCACCAGAGCTCTCTGCTCGTTACTGAAGCTGGAATATGGTATCTACAAGATAATGTCCAACAAGTTCCTAGTACTTTGGATTTATGAGACACATTTAATATTCCTGCTATATTTATAACAATCAGGAGTTGGTGAGCGGTATCTTTTTTCCTGCATTATAAACAGGTTTAAACACTTCCGGGCGGAATATAATGTGAATTTACTTTTAACGTTTCCTAATTATGCTAGAACAATTCATAAGACATTTGACTTATTATTTACTATGTTGATTATAGTCAGCATAAATATGCATACATAGCTGGCTTACCCTTGCGATGCTTATCATCTGCTGCTCTGAGTCTCTCTGAATAATGATTTTTTTTGCAGCTATAGAAATAACGAATGGGTACTGACAGAAGGAAAACCTGCCCAACAAGTGGAAACAGAAAAAGCAAAATTGTGTATTTTTTAGCAAAATTTTACTAAGGGAATGTAAGGTACCCCTTCTAACAATATAACACTTTACTTTTGAATGATGTCTTATCATTTGCAAAATGATCTCAAGTACATAATTTCTCTTAATCCCCGGGGTGCAGTACCTTTGTTTTCCGGAGGAAGCTACATCTAATGAAATATGTGCTAACTACTTACATTGTTACGTAGTAATTCCAGTTTATGTACAGTCACCTGTACATCATTACCTGTGAAAAATAAGGCCAACCCCAGAGCCAAGAGGCAGAGTGTTGATGAAGGAGGATTAGGACAGAAAGTTCAAGTACAGAAAATAATTATAAAAATCCATTATTAAATGGATATTTCTGATGTGAGAGCTTTAGAAATGAGGAAATCTTGTATAATTATGGTAATAACAAGCAGAGTAATAAACTTAAGACCAATAAAAGTATGTCACTGTTAGTACTGCCCTTAATGATAGAGCAATATGGAATGATACGTGCTTGTAAAGGTACAACATTGTGATCGGAAGTAATGAAAACAACTTTTTTTTTTTTGAGGGGGGGAGTGGTGGTCAGAGCTCATTCTATGCTATGTAAAAAAGCCACAGCCAAAGAGAGGCATTTGGAGAGAACTAGCTTGGCAATACTGACACTTCAGGAGTTAGACTCCATCAGAAGTGGCTGCAATGCATCTATCAGTTTTCATTGGAATCCATCCAAGTGCAGTCAGGCAAGGCATCCTGAAGGCACTATGGGGACACAGGAGGTAGCATGTGAACTGAAAACGAAATAGCTTCCCCCTGGATCGAAATTGTGAAAAATAGTAAGAGTTGTTCAGTACTAATGTGTAATGATTTTGAATCACCAAGTGCTAATATTAAATATTAAAAATGGGTGTAATGAACTTAGTAGGATAAGTGAAATGAACTTAGCAGGATGCACTTTAAAACAAAAAGATTGAGATTTTCCCCTAGTCTTGGCACTTAGAAGAATGATACTATGTGAATGAGATACTAGATAAACAGCTGAGGCTGCTCATGGCCAGGGGTGACCTGGCCTTGGGCTCCAGATCCCATCCCAGGCCCAGACTGGCTTCCCAAGGGCTGGAGGGATCACAGGATCAAAAGTCTAATTCATTCTTGGTACACTGCTGTGGTACAGTGGTTAGAGGTGCTCTGTATTAAAAGCTGTCACTAAAATACACACAATAACTCTTGGAGTTGGTTTGTGGTTTTATCTACGTTATAATTATATTAAAGTGGGAGAAAAAAACTTCCTTTGTAAAATAAACTTTCCCAAGAAAGTATTCATCAGACTGACAGAGGTCCCCAGAAATGGAATTCTTATTCAGTTCCGAGTGTTCATTTACGGACTAAAATGTGTCCTGAGGGCCATTTTATGTTTTAGGCCAATTTTTGTTGAAAGAATCCCTGGAAGCTTGAACCAGTTTATGAACTGGTCTGCGGTTTGAGGCTACTTGCATCCATCCCCTATCTCTGAGTCAGTCTCTATGAACTCTCCAGTATATCTTCTGGTCTGGGAACAAATTGTTTGGGATTGTCTTGCTGGTTTAATTCAAACAGTAAGTGTGGATATAAGGGGCAGTATATTACAGAATTTGGTCATGTGTTTTGAAAATCTATATACCATTGTAATCATTTGTGGTAAAGATCTTTCTCTAACATCAAATTTTTAAAATACTGTTTGTAAAGGTCAACCATTTTTCCTACAGAGTAAGGAAGGAAAAGAGAGTGTATGTGTGTACGTGCACATGTGTATAATCACTGTGTTCGATCTGGCACTGGCACCCATGGCCCATGGGACAAAGATGGCCTGTCGCCTGCGCTTGTGAATAAAGAGTTGTATGACACAGGCACCCCCATTCATTTTCATAGTGTCTAAGGCTGTCTTTTTGTGCTGCAACAGACCAGAGATTGTATAGCCCAAAGAGCAAAAAACATTTACCATTTACTACTAGCACTTTAGAGACAAAGTTTGTTAATCCCTGTCCTAGACAATAGCATTTAGAATAAGAAGCTACAAGAAATTGCATATGTAGATAGGACCTTTCCCTCCTTAAAAAGATGTTATTAATCAAACCAAAAACAAATTAACATGCATATGAATTCAAAATGTAACAGAAAAATAAAATGCTTTCATAAATATAGTATTTCAAGCCTGAATAATTAAACTATAATACATTTACAAGTTTATATGTAAAGGTATGGGTAGATTTAATAAAGTTATTTACACAAACTTAAAACCCAGTCATTATTTTGAATAGTATTTCATTTAGGTGAGGAACCACATGAGCTTCTGACTGTACCTGTGGGAGTTTCCAAAGCTCTGCCAGGTGTGGTACTCCTCCATGAGGTCAATGTGGTCCAGGGTAGAATTATAGAAATCGGTATAAGGAATAAGGGGAGGGTGGACCAAATTGTTTGCAGTATCTGTAAAGATAAACTCTAACATAATGATCTTTTCCAAAATGCACAGAATTTACTCTAATAATAATAAAATAATAATATTTTAATGTCTACCAAGTAGTCTTTACCTATTCAGATTTTAAGCAATTGTAGCTTCCAATGGAAAAAGTAGTTTTATAATTGTGATAAATAGAGCCAATAAATTTCCCCCCCCAAAAGAACTTGTGGCAGGGATTGTATTAGTATTGTAAAAGGAGCACCCAGGTGGCCATCTACTCTTTCTGTCCTCTCCCCCCAACCCCCCTCCCCTTACCCCCGTATGTTCTCTCCTTAGCATCCCTCAGGAATTCACGGAAGTTCTTGTGTTCTTAGGAGTCACTTAGCTGATTATTTGCAGTTGATGGTCATAACACAGAATACTGCCCAATGAAAGCATAAAGCTCGCTCCTGCTTGTTAATGAACCGTGAACTCCATCATCAAAACAGAAAGTAAATTACAACCTTCCACTTCAAAGAAACGCTTTAGAATGTAAGAATGCCTCCATAGTACTTAGAGACCCTTATGGAAATGGCTCTGATATTTAACAGAAGAAAAGTAAAGAAGGTAGAAGAACAAAACCTACTCAGTAAAGCCAGCACTCTGGATGCTGAGGGGATCCACCAGGAACATTTTGTTAGGGGCGGAAATTCTTCAGGCTTTGCCGGAAACAGTCGTAAAGAAATAAACTGCAGCAATCTCTCTACCAATTGTTTGAACCTCTTCTGGGATAATCTGGTAAAGATTTTGAAATAATTCCAATCAGAATTCACATCGTCTATTTTGGCAATATATTCATTAGATAGTAAAGTGCATTCTATATGCATAACCTTTTAGAATATTTCCCCAAATTCTATTTTTTAATTGCCAAACATTTGAAAAGATGGAAAATCTCACCTGGATTATTACTTTTTAATTGAATAAGAAATAAACATTAATATTACTATAAAGTTAGTATTAGCAAAAAACATTTCACTTTATGCCCAAAACTCAGGTGTGTAAAGGCTTTTAACAGTCAATTCTATTATTCGGTATGTGCAAATTCACCTACTTTCTAAAATTAATTGTAACCCCCAAATTGATAATGTGGCTCTTTCCCTGTCACTTGTAGATGTGCAAACAGTGGCAAAAAATTTTAGTTGCCCAATGTGCACATTCTCAGCTGATGCTGAAAAAGAAACACTGTCTTATTCTAGCTCTCATGCTGTAAGCAGTCTGCATAGTGTCACATTTTCCACGTTTTTGTGCTTTTTGTTAGTGATTTTGCTGTTTTAAAATGGCCTCCAAATGTAGTGTTAAAGTTTTGTCTAATCTTCCTAAGTACAAGGATGTTGTATGCCATACAGAGAATACACTTGTATTAGATAACATTTGTTCAGACATGAATCATAGTGCTGTTGGTTGTAAATTCAATGTTAATGAAACAATGATTTATCTTAAACTAGTGGTCTGGGGCATGAAATTTGTGCACATTAAAAGGGAATTGATTAGAGGAAATATTTTAATATTGCTATTTGCCCTTTCTCTATAATGGAAGTGTCAAAGATGAAAGAAATTTAGTAAAATGTATATGAAAAGTCAGGGGCATGCTGCGGGACTCAGAGTCAAGACCCTGCCCACCTGCATGTGCCTCAAAATTGTGTGAGACCCAGATATGGCCGGCCCCACCCCTATCAAGACCCGCTGGGCAGGGATGGGGGCGCGAGGGCAGTGCAGCCTCAGTTCCCTCAACCTGGCCTCAGGTCCCACGCCCCAGGGCGGGGGTCACAGCCTCAGGTGCCCTGGCGTGAGGGTGTGATGACCATTTGCATATGAGCTCTTTATTATATAGGATAAGATGTTATTAGATAGAAGAACCGGTAAAGCAAGGTTTTGTAGTCATCAGCTGATGAAAATGTTGACCTTAAAGCTCGCAGGAGTCTAATGCTGTGTTTCCTTTAGGGGCAATAGTTTAGTATTCACTAATTCACTGTTTGCAGTACATTTATAGAACATAGAGATCCAGTGCACGAATTCATGCACCAGTGGGGTCCCTTGGCTTGGCCTGAGGGATTAGGCCGAAACCAGTTCTCCAAGATCCTCGAGGGGTCCCAGATTGCAAGAGGGTGCAGGCCAGGCGTTGGGACCCCACTGGTGCACGATTGGGGACAGGGAGGGAAGTGGGAGGTTGGCCTGCCAGGGAGGGAACACGGGAGGGCTCCAGGGCATATCTGGCCTGTCTGGCTCAGTCTCAGACCCCAGCAGCAAGCTAACCTACTGGGTGAAGTGTCTGCCCCCTGATGGTCAGTGCATGTCATAGCAAATGGTTGAGTGGCCTTAGCATATCATTAGCATCTTACACTTTGATTTTGTTGAACAGCCGACCAGAAGACTGGACACTTAGCATATTAGGCTTTTCTATATAGGATACTACTATGAATAATGAGAATCGATTATATTTTAAAATTAATTTTGAAAATATTTTGTATCTATAATTGTTATCAATCATGAAGAAAAGTATTTGTTGGAGTATACTATGAAAAAAGTATGGTACCTTCATAAATTGATATTGATGGCTAATCTACATTTTATAAAAATGCTTTTGAGGAAGGGAAAACACCATGTAAATGATGGTGGCATTTATATTGATACAGAGACAGGAAATAAAAAGACACAAATTAAAATACTAATGTCTGAGCAAATCCAGGCACCATCTATGAGATGTTTGAAAAACCAGTGATAGAAATGCACCGTATAAAAGCAAGAGCAGTGGACAGAAATTTCAACCACATCTTGTACAAGCAAAATGGTTTCCAACATTAGAAACAGATTTTTAATTACCTTCTATGTAGTACTATATATATATATATGTAATATAATTGCCTTTTGAGGCACTGTGAAGTATAAGTATAAATATATTTAACTCATAGCAAACTTAAAACTCCAAGATTATGGAAATTCTTAATATCATAGAAGGACTTACTTTTTAACCCAGTGGATTAAGAAATGATGGTCAGCTTCCACTAAGGCAGCTATCTGTCTTAGCAAGTGGGCATAGATGACGTATGTAGATGTGTTATTAAACTGAGGATTCTAAAAAAGATATTAAAAGTAATTGTGTTAATATACTGTTAACATGTAAAAAGAAAGACACTAAGCTTAATGAGCTAAGTGGTAAATTCAGAAGATGAGACTTGAAGGTATGAAATACTAGGTGAAATCCTTTAAAACAGTAATCTATTTGTTTAATTATTTAATTAGCAGAGATTTGATACAGTTCCACTGTGATACAGTGGAAAGATCATGAGCTTCAGAATTGAGACAGACCTAAGTCTGAGTGAGCCAAGCTTTTTGCTAATATATGTCCTCAAAAACTTGAGCTTCATGTTGTTTTCTAGCATTCACTATCTCAACATATATATCCCCCACCCCCAGTTTTGTCTTTCTCCCTCACATCTCTCAACTGCTTCTTGTCTATTCCTCCCCCCACACACTTTTCTTTTTTCCTCTCTTCCCACTTCTCTATCTTTACCCTGCATATTTCTTCTTATTGGACACAGTAATGAACTAAACACTATCTTATTTAATTAATTTTTTTCTTGCCTTTAAATGAGGTAGTAGCATATTTGCACATTTTGCAAATTGTAAAGAATGATACTGATGCTAACTATAGTAATAATATAATTTTTCCTTAAAAATAGTAAAAACTAAAAATTACTTTTCATTTGTCTGGACCTTATTTTTTCTATCTGTGAATCTGTAGCTCTCAAGAAGAAATAAGTTCATCATCTTTGTTTTGCAAATATAAACCACTTTGATTTTTCTATTCATATTCTAGCTCAAGCATTTATTGAAAATTCATAGAGAAGAAAATTCATGAGAACTTACTACTTAGAAAATAAAAGAAAGTTTTGGAGCCCATTCTAGTTATAAGAAAGGAGATTAATTGGAGGGGGAAGATATTCTTCCCTTCTGTTTGTGCCCAATACCACAGCAGGAAGGCAAGAATTAAAAATTTAATCCCAAAGATAAATTAGCTTCCCATTGTTTCTTTTTGTAGCTTTTTTTTCTATAACTACAAGTAACTACAATCCAAAATTATCAATAATGTTGTTCAAAAGAATACTTAATATTTGATATAATTTCACCTATATACATGCATAAACTGAGGGTTAAATTAGATAACTAATTTGCTTTCTTACCTGTAAAAGTATAAAATATGCTCTCAGATCATCTTTTGTCCGTGGACTGAAAAAGAAACAATTGATTAGAGATTACAGTATATAATAAAAAATGATCCATTAATATTTCTGTGAGAATTAGTTGATAAAAGCCAAAAACTAGACTTAAGTAAATATATATTATTGAGACAGTAACGTATCTCTAATATGCTGAGAATATAGGTTCCTGTGTGCCTATTCTAGGCTGATTCTAAAGATACTTAAAAACAGAGTTAACTAGGCTATTATATTTTATGAGATAAATATCACGATTAACTCTAGAAACAATTTAGAGTCTGGAAAATAATTAACAATTTTAGAATACTTATGTTTTTGTTTTAATAAAGGATAACTGAGATATCAAAAGTATTTATGCATTGAAAAAATAGGCTTGTGAGTACAGTTCTATTACTGAAGTGAAAGATGCAGAAATGTCTGCAGGTCAAATCACACTTTGAATACATCTAGTATATTTCTAATGAAAAGAATCTTATTTTGAATTCCTCTGAAAAGCAACTAATTTTTAACCTGTGCCATGCTAATCTGGATCTCCATATGATCAAATTTGACCAAGTTTTTATTTCCCAAGCTGATGACTGTTACTTGCCCTCTCAAGATCTATTAAATACACTGACAAACACTCAGAAGTAAGTAACTTCTTGCATTACAAATGGTTCCCCTATGTGATAACTAGATGCAATTAATGATCCTTGATTGGATCCTGGATTGAAAAATAAAACCCAGATATTAAAGAACACTTTTGAGCCAATTATGGAAATTTAAATATGGACTGTATTTTAGAGAGTATTAAATGAATATTAAGTGTATTATGGTCACAGAGAAAAATGTGATTAGGAAATACATGCTGAAGTAATTAGGGGCAAAGTATCATGCCTTCCATTTACTAAAAACACATTCCATGCAGAGGGAAAAAAAGTTAAAAGCAAATGTGGCAAAAAGTGAACAACTCGTGAATTCAGGTGATGGTGAATGAATTTTCATTATCTTTAACTTTTCTGTAATTTGAAATTTTTCAAAATTCAATATTGGGGGTAAAATGGTTCACCTCCAAGTATCTCCTTAAATTTCCTTTAAGAAAATAAAATGATGAAATAATGATTTACTTTTCTGTTATAGTTATAAATTAAGTATGAAAATATAAATCATTGCCCAAAATGTACTAGATGACCTTTTCAAAATTAAAGCCACATAATCTGAAATATAACTATGTATTACATATATATTAAAATTAGAAATAAATATGTATATGCTTGCATATATAACATTTTAAAATTAGTAATATTTCTTTGTAGGAGAATTATCTCAACGAAATAATGATTTATATTATTTTAGGTTTAAGTCAAATAGAAACACTTTCTGTCTATAATATTCTACATAATTTTCAGACTATTTTCTCAATGGACTAATGTTTTAGAAATTATATTTGAAAATATTTTAAAACACTCAAGGCATTTCATAAATATTAAAATTTCTGGTGATAGGAGAGTCCTACTTTTTCCCATTTTATAGCTGCACCATTGTGATTTCCAGTTCTCTGGCCTATGCACTAGTATTTCAGTACAGTATACAGTTTGGGCTATAGAAATTGTGGTTAAGATCACAGGCTCTTTGCCAAACTGCCTGGGTTCTAATCCTGACTTACTGGGTTATTTTGGGCAATTTACTCGGCAAATTTTCTCAACTGTAAAATGAAAATAATCATATTACCTATTTTATAGAATTGTAGTAAAGATTCAATGGAAAACACATGTAAAATTGTTAGGAAGGTACTTAGCCCATAATAGTCAATAAACTATATTTTGTTGTTGTTATAATAAATCCAAAATAAAACAAGATTTTTAGGTATTGAACATACATTCCTCTGAAACATGAGTCCTTTCACATTGTCATTTTAATCTGTATTGGACACTCTTTTCAAGAGCAGAGAGGGGAAGCTTATTAGAGGGGACTGAGATCCCAGCAGTTTCAGACCACTGTACTTTCTCTTCTCCTACAAATGCTCTTTACATTCTAATTTTCTCTTCATTTTTAGTGAAGCATTATGTGTTCAACCAAAAATACAAAATTCAAGGAAAATGCAAATATATTAGTAGAATGATAAATTAGGAAAAACAGTTTATGTTAAAAAATCATATGAAATTATATATTATTATTTTAATTATTTTAAAGAGGACTAGACAAAAATAGCAAAATGTAAACATTTTTTACTTTTTTTTTTTACACTACTCTGGCTTTTAAAAATTTTTCTATAATAACTAGGCATCTCTTTGAAAATTTATTAAATTTTGAACAATGTTTTTAAAATATATAAGGTACATTTGACATTATATTTAAGAATTCTAATTTGGTAATATTTTTAGACTGGGCTTAATATAAACATGTAAATTATAATATTATGGTATTCTTTTGGCTTTATAGAAGCTATTATTGAAATCACAGTGCTGTTTAAACAATATCAATTTAAATATGTACTTTTGAAAGCATATTTTTATATTCTACATATTCTTAGTTCAAAACATTATCAGTTGCATTGCCCATCACTCCTTAAATAATGATTCTATATTTGGTTTTAAGAAAAAACATTTTAGCTGTTAAACTTACATTTCCTTATATTAGAAATAAAAAAATTTTTGCTTTGGCTAAGAAAAGGTCCAAGGCTAAATTTAATGCCCATATTATTTCATCCTATGTTACAGGTACCTACTCATCCCATATTTGTATAGCACTCATGTCTGTATGCAACAAATTTTATATATGATGTTAAAGGATTCAGAGATCTTTTGAAGCCCGCCCATAGACCCTCCTGGGAAGTCACAAATCTCAAGTTTAAAAACTTTGTTGTAAATTGTTTATAACTTCTTTCTCATCTTTGTTTTTATTACATTAAAATTGACTCAGGGTAAAATACATACTTATGTAGCATAAGATGTATGAGATGTATAAACTAACCATCTGTACTGACTAGCTAGATATTAATTACAATTACCCTTTCCATTCTCGTAACAAGCTGTTAATGATTCCCTTTAATACTGTCTTCTGAATGTCTTGAGGCTGTAGGCAAAAGAAAACCATAAAATAATTAGGATTAGCTACTAGAGTGACTTTTTAAACATTGTTTGTCCATTCACCTATTAAAGAATATCTGGGTTACTTCCAATTTTCAGCAATTTTGAATAAGGTTGCTTTAAAATTTGTGTGAGGTTTTTGGGTGGACATACGTTTTGAATCATTTGGGTAGACAACTAGGGCACGACTTCTGGGTCATATTGTAAACTTGTTTAGCTGTGTAAGAAAATGAAAATATAACTTATTGAAATTTGTGGGATACAGCAAAAGTAGTGAATGAATGTATTAGACAAAAAGATCTAAAATAAGTGATTTAAGCTGTCAATCTTGGGAAATTAAAACTGGAAATCAAGTCCAAGTAATCAGAAGAAAATACATAATAAAGGTTAGAAGAGAAATCAATATAATTGAAAACAGGAACTAATAGAGAAAAAGCAATAAAACCAAATGCTAGTTTTTGGAAAAAATTAATAAAGTTGGTGAACCTTTAACCAGATTAACCAAGAAAGGAAGATTAAAGAGAGTAATTACTAATATCAGAACTGAAAGCAGGATCATCACTACTGATACCTGGACACTGAAAGGATATCAGAGAAATATTGTGAACAACTCTGTGCCCACAGTTTAAAACCTACATAAAACAGACCTAGTCTTTGGGAGATATAATCTCCCAAAGGTCACACAGAGAGACAGCGATAATTTGAATGGACTTATATTTATTAAAGAAACTGAATCAATGACTAATAACTTTGCAAAACAAACACTAGGCCCAGAAGATTTAACTGGTGAGTTCTACTGAAAATTTAAGAAAGGAAGAATACCAATTCTTTACAATTTCTTCCAAAAACAGAAGAGAAAATACTTCCTAACTTATTCTATGATGTCAGCATTATCCTAATACCAACTTAAAGATATTACAAGAAAAAATTACAGATCAATATCTCTTCTGAACACATATGTAAAAATCCTCAACAAAGTAGCAAATCAAATCCAACAATGTATATAAATAACTATACACCATGATCAAGTGGGATTTATTCCAGGTATGCAAAGCTGGCTCAACACTTGAAAATCAATTAATGTAACTCATCACATCAATAAGCTGAAGAAGAAAATATCATATCATATCAGTAGCATTGAAAGCATTTGATAAAATCTAACACCAATTCATGATAAAGCCTCAGCAAACTAGGAATGGAGGAAAATTTCCTCAATTTGGTAAAGAACATCTATAGAAATTCTTGAGTCAACATAATTTTAATGGTGAAAAATTGATAGGTTCATCTTGTATTTTCCCTATCTCAGTCCTGGAATTAGCCATTTCTCCAGGGAGCTCTGGTAGAAACCATGCATGCTAAAGTGCTCATTGCTACTGGGTGTTACTGCTTCTAAGCCCTTTCAGAGAACAGGGTTAGGAAACACACACACACCCACACACACACACACCCATATCCATCTATTAAAATCTATGAGTTCATTATTATGTCTTAATGCCAAAAACTAAGAAAAACTAAAAATTTGTTTACGTATTTTAAAAAAATCTTTAGGCTGAAGATACATAAAATACTGTGTATAAAAGTTACTTGGCTTAGTTTTTTAAAGGCATGATTATAATATTCGAAGTATAGCTAGGTGTTTTTTTTTTCTGTTTATATTACATTTTAAAGGATTTTCCCCTCATGTTGCATATTTTTAATTGTTTAAATGCCTATAAAATACTAATATCATTCCAAGTCAGAAAAAGTCAGAGAAGTGTCCCAGGAGTGAAACTTTTGGGTCACAGTGTATGCATAAGCAAAATGTGTTAGCATTTTCCCAAAGTGTTTGTTTAAACTTACCCAATCAGGCTACAGAATTTCTAAGTGCTCCACAATATTGCCTATTCTTGGTAAGTTTCTTTTTTTAATTTTTAATTTTTTACTAATTTTGAATGGATATATAATTTTATCTTCATTTCTCTAATGACAAATGTTATTAAGTACCCTTTCTTATATTTAATTGTGAAGTGCTGAGGTTAGCAATAAGCAAGAATGTCTGCTATAACTTATTTTATTTAAAATTATATAAAAAGGCAAATACAACTATGCATGCATACATAGGTACGAGGATTAGAAAGAGATAAAACTCATTTTTCACAAACAACTTGATTGTCTACAGAGAGTATCCACATAAATCTGATGTGCTGTGAGAATTAATGAATAAATTTAGCATGGTAAATGAAGATAAATATATGAAGTTATTTCCATACTAGTAACAATTAGAAAATGAAATTACAATAGGATAAAAAAAATCAAGTACCTAGAAATAAATGTCATAAGATATGTCAGACCTTTACTCAGAAAACTGAAGTATTACCAAGAGAAATTTAAATAAGATTTAAATAATTGGAGGGATATACCATGCTCATGGATCGAAAGGATGTCAGTTCCTCACATACTGATCTATAGCATGGGATTCTCTAAATGTGATCCCTGGATCAGGAGCATCAACATATCCTGGGAACTTGTTAGAAACACAGATTTTTGGGCTCTAACCAAGACATTCTGAATCTGAAAGTCTGTATTTTAAGAACCCTTCCTGTGACTCTGATATATGATAAAGTTTGAAAACCACTCATCTGAGGTTCAATTCAGTGCCTATACAATCAAATAACTGACATCCTTTTGCTTAAGTGAAGCACAATTTTACATTAGTAAGCCTCCCTAGTACAAGGACTGGACATAAATGTATTTTCTGCTTAATTCTCATTTAGTTGTAAAAATAAAAACAATTTAACTTTCTGAGAATTCCAACTAAATTTACTATAAAATTACTTTTGAGTGATTTTTACAATATTTGTGTAGCTGCTTTTGAAATACAGAAGAGACAAAGAATTATACTACTTGCATGTGTTCATAAATAATACTTACAGTATTAAGTAAGGCATCATATACAGCATTCACAAATTTAGCATTAATCCCAGAGTCTTCAATGGTATTAAATGAGGTGGTAGTATCTTTCTGCAAATTCAATAAAGAATTAAGTGTATATAAAATTTTAAGGACTGTTCTTAGTCATATTTGAATCATAATAGTTCCTTCATAATTCCTAATATTTTCTAGTATGATAATAAAGAACATTCAGGGCAAAACTGCTAAAACAAAAAATGAAGAGAGAGGTGGGGGAGATAAGAGATCAACTGAAAGACTTGTGTGCATGCATATAAGCCTAACCAATGGACGCAAAACTCTGGGCGGTGAGGGCATGTATGGGAGTGGGGTGGGAGGAGCAATGGTAAGATATGTACACATATAATACCTTAATAAAAAAATGAAAAAAAATAAGTAATCCTCCCCCCCCAAAAAAATGAATATAGAAGAATCATTTTAACTTAAAACTGAAAAAATGGAACAAATATTAACATTTAATACAAATTAAGATATCACTAAAGTAATATTTGTGATACAAGTAATTTCAGAAATTAATACATATATATATTTTAAACAGTTGCTTAATTCAATATTAGGATAAAAAAGGGGTAAAGTTGTCTTTTTTAAAATTTAAAATGAAAAATGTGTTTTATGTATTATTACCTTAAATGCAGCATTTAGTTCTGGGAAAGAATCAAATGTTGTTAGATAAAAATCATGTACTGCTTTCCAATCTCCTGATGACTTAGATTTTTCTACATCTTCCCTAAAATGAAAACATACACTAACTATAATAGAAGGAAATATTATTCAGATAAAATAGCATTACTTCTTTACACATAAATGTCACCAAACATGCAACTTGTTTGAAGCTGAATACAGAAACATGTTCCAGTTAATGTAAATATGATTTATGGATCGGTAATCCTTAATTAGATTGAGATATTTTCTTAAAAAAACATTGATGAGAGAGAGTCATCGATCAGCTACCTCTTGCACACCCCCTACTGGGAAATGCCCGCAACCAAGGTAACATGCCCTTGACAGGAATCGAATCCCGGGGCCCTTCAGTCCCCAAGCCGACGCTCTATCCATTGAGCCAAACCAGTTTCGGCTAGATTGAGATATTAATCTGGCTTTAGTTTTCCCATTTACTTGCTTTTTGAAAAGTTCATTCTTGACATGCTTATTACAAGTAACACTCTTCACTTCAGAGCCTGAGGTCTTGAGAGATATTGTTTATATTGTCTCTACTTTCTCATTATTCCTTTGCTCCTTCAAATATTCAGTTGAATTTTTTTTAGTAGTGACATAGCTTTAGTAGTTCATGTGTCACATAGCATACAAAATCTTACTTTTAAAAAATGAAACATTCTATTATTTTATTACTACCTTTGTCTCCTGCTTTGCCTGTTTTGACTCATATTCTCTTATTTAGTGTTTCTTTTGCTGCGACATCACCTACCCCTCCTGTTTCTTACATATTTGTTTTCACCTTCCACTTGAGACATCTAGTCTTTTGTGACTACACTCTTGGCTAATACCTTATCATGATCCACAAGATCAATTGCTCACACAAACCTATTAAATTATATAAAGTACTGACATGCAGATAACTATACGTCTAATATAATAGTGAGCTGCAGCTTACTGAAAGTCTTTCATAGTTCTGGGCTGGAGAGGAAGGGCAGACTCTGGAGGAACTGCGGCCTTTGTTTCCGATGATGTGTCTGTAGAGAGACGCTGTTTCTGTCTAACATCAAGGCAAACTGGTGGTGGGTCTGTCACTGTGAAACATAAAAAAGTATTCAGTATAATTTAATCATAAAAATTTCTCCAAATTATATACTTAACATGAACAGAAAACAAATGAATTATTTTGTGTTGCATTCACCTCGGGGTCATATGACAGAAAGTCCTACCATAGGGAAGGGCACTTACAGTATGTCTATCGCCCCTACCCCAACTTTACCCATTACAGATATTGGGCTGTATCTTACATTAAAAGTTATCTACAGATGTAAAACAGTTTCTTTCCCCTGCTCTTTCCCCAAAAGTTGTCTTTCAGGGAATATTTCAGTGAGATTCAGTGTTTTAAGTGTTTCTTAGTTCTTTGAATATGCCCAAATCATTTATTTGCATTCTCAGCAATTCTTTATTGGAGTTTTAGCATTTTCTTAAGAATTTGCATGAAATTTTTATTTTATTCTGTTTGCAAATATTTGCCAGTTTATTGTTTGTTCTTTTTGTTGTACTTTAGTACCTTTTAATTATGTAATAAAATGAATATACAAGAATCTCATAAAGTAAATGTATGGGTTAATGAATAGTATTTATTATAAGACAAACACCTTTGAAACCACTAACCAGTCAAAGGATAGTGTTACCAGCCCCTCCTTGGTCCAACTTCCCATATGTTGGGTAGACTCTGCCTATTTTAATGTCTATTTCCTCAGATTCCTTTTTATCTTTTCTTTATTTTTAAACATTTCTACCTTTTTTCTTATAGTTTCTTTATAGCATGATTTATTATGTTTGTTTGCTTTTGTGTTTCTCCTAGTTTTAACAGTATTTTTAATTCTTTATTTCACCTCATTTCTCAGTGTTTACAATTCCATGCTTTTTCAAGTGTCTTATTTTCTTAATGAATTTCAGCTCATCTTAAAATAAAGTTTTATCTATTTTTTGTGGATATTGTTTCTGATGGGCTCTCATGGTTCAAGTGGCTGATTCTTATTCTTATTTAGTACAATAAAATCTTGAAATAAAAAATTATAGAATTTTCCCTGTCTGGTGTGGCTTAAGTTGGTTGGGCATCAACCTTTGTACCAGGAGGTTGCTGTTTCAATTCCCAGTCAAAGGCGCATTCCTGGGTTGTGGGCTAGATTCCTGGTAAGGCATGTAGGAGGCTGGTAGGGGGCATGCAGGATGCAGCTGATCATTGTTTCTCTCTCCCTCTCCCTTCCTCTCAATCTAAAAAAAATCAATGAACTATCTTTTAAAAAAATCTGGAATTTGATTTTACTCATTTTTATTTGCCAATATTTTAAATATATATATTTTATTGATTTTTGCAGAGAGGAAAGGAGAGGGATAGAGAGTTAGAAACATCAATCAGCTGCCTCCTGCACACTCCCAATGGGGGTGTGCCTGCAACCAAGATACATGCCCTTGACCGGAATCAAACCTGGGGCCCTTGAGTCCGCAGGCCAATGCTCTATCCACTGAGCCAAACTGGTTAGGGCCAATATATATATTTAAAAAAACCCAAAAAACATGTTTATTGATTTCAGAGAGAGAAAGGGAGAGTAAGAGAGGTAGAAACATCAATGGTTGAGAGAATTATTGACCTGCGTCTCCTGCATATCTCCTACTGGGGATCCAGACTGCAACCTGGGTATGAGACCTGACAGGGAATCAAACCATGACCTCCTGGTTCATCGGTTGACACTCAGCCACCGAGCTACACCAGCTGGGTGGCCAATATTATTTGAAATTAGTTTCCCAAACTTGGAGGAGGAGGTGTAGGTGCCCCCCCACCCTTCTTTTGTGTGTGTGTGTGTGTGTGTGTGTGTGTGTGTGTGTGGAATTTAAATATAATATATGGCAGCTTGCTTTCTGGGATTTCCAGGCCCTGTTTCCCTCCTCCACTTTTAATTTAGGTATCCTCATTCCTTAATCCCTATTGTCCCAGTGCTGCTTAAATCAATCAATCATTATGGGGCCCGGGTCTGGAAGGGGCTCTAATAGTCACTTTTGAGAACTCACAGGGGCAACATGTTCCCTTCAGATTTAGCATGAACTCTCTGCATTCATCTCCTCTTGGCAGAACCTCCCAATTTCAGCCTTTGTTCTCACTAGCCTCCTGAGCTCCAGTGGATACCTGTTACTTATTTTGCAGCTTTCCTGTTCTCAGGTCCATCAAACAGCCCAGATGCTTCCTTTGCTTACACCTGCCAGGATGCTAACCCTGGAGATCTATCTTATACTTTTGGTGATTTTCCATGCTTATCCTTTTAGACCATTTATATGTAACTAGAGGCCTGATACACAAAATTCATGCAAGAGTAGGCCTTCCTTTTCCTGGCTGCTGGCACTGGCTTCCCTCTGGCATCTGGGACCCGGATTTCCCTCACAGCCTTGGCTTCATCTGGAAGGTCGTCTGGAAGGATGTTTGGTCTAATTAGCATAATACGCTTTTATTATTATAGATTATTGATATGTTAGGGCTTAAATCTATCATTTTATTTTTTGTTTTTTATTTTCCTGCCTTCCTGTGTGTTATGTGAACACTTTTCAGAATTCCATTTTGATTTATCTGCTCCAGATATCCAGATATTATATACACACTAGAAGCCCAGTGCACATATTTGTGCATGGGGGGGGGGTGTCTCTTGGCCTAGCCTGTGGGGATTGGGCCAAAATTGGCTCTCCGACACTCCCCAAGGGGTCCCGGATTGCAAGAGGATGGTTCTTGAGTGACACACCCTGGACTTGGGCTCCATCCTCTCTAATTCCGGATGTGTCACCCACGAACTGCAGCTGTCAAGTCATCATTAACTCTGCAGCTCCTAAACTGAGCGTCTATCCCCTGGTGGTCAGTGTGCATCATAGCTATTGGTCAGACAGTTGAATGGTCAGACAGTTGCTTAGGCTTTTATATATATATAGATTAACTTATCAGTCTACTGGTGTCATAATTTCACTAGTTGAAAACCTCCTTCTACAAACCTCCGTTACAGTGTTGTTTGTTTCCACTGTTAACCATAATTAGAAAACATGAAAGGAAAGGAAAGTTTGTTGTAATTAGCTTTTTTTTTTTCTTCTTCTTGTTCTTCTTTCTTGGTGTTTCAAGGTTCCTACGTTTATTGTTTCCTTTTTGCTTAGAAAACCTCTTAATGCATTGGTTGAGGATAAGTCTACTGGCAACAGATTCTCAGTTTTCTTCCATTTGAGAATATATTGATTTCCTCTCCAGCCAGGTATTGGATTCTTCTGATTTGCAGTTCTTTCAGCCACTTCCTTCTGGCCTCCATGGTTACCATGAGAAATCTGCTATTATCCGAATGATTTTCCCCTATCTAGGTAAGTTGTCATGTTTCTCTGGCTGCTTTTCAACATTTTTTTTTGTTTTTGTTTTACTTTTAGATTTAATTATATGTCCTAATGTGGATTTTGTCGTGCACGGTTTGCTCAGCTTCTTGAACCTCTAGGCTTATGTCTCTTGGACAAATGTAGGGAGCCTTCATTTGAGTACTTTTCAGCCTATGCTCTTTTTTCTCTCCTTCCAAGACTCCTATGACAAGGATGTAACATCTTTTGTTATAGTCCCACAGGTTTCTTGAGCAATTTTTTTTTCTTTCCAGTCTATTTTCTCTCTGTTGTTTAGACTGGGTAATTTGCATTGCCCTATATTCCAGCTCATTAATTCCTGTTCTTTCATTGTGCTGTTGAGCCCATCCTCTAAGCATTTTATATTGGTTATTATATTTTCTCAAGTATTAATATTTCCAAGCCAATAGAATGGATTAGTATCTTATAGACTCTAAATTATACAATAAGGAAATGTACATATCTTGAATTTAACTCTTCTCTAATATAATCAGGATATATTTTCAAGTAAGCAAACAACCGTATCACTTATTGCAGCGCTCACATAGCTCTGCTGTCTTCCTGCCTCTCTTATCCACTCTCCCAAACAAGAACCTATCCTTGGGGTCTGCCACTGACCTCAGCAGACTATGATACATTTCATTAGTGTTAAAGTCTATAATAAAGTAAATTTCATATTAGAAGGTAGTACAGAAGGTAGTACATTTTCTTATACTCAACAGTAATGGTTTATAAACTTACTGTATCACAGAATCACCTGGAGAGCCTGTCAAAACACAGATTATGAGGTCCTTCCCCAAAGTGTGTGATTGAGTAGCTCTGGTTGGGGCATTTCTAACATGTTCCCAGATGCTGCTGATGCTGCTGGTCTGAGGGTCACACCGAGAAACACTGCTCATCAGCTTTAGGAGAGCAGTGATGCTGACAATATAAAACATGTGACTAAATTTATTTCATTCAGGTCTATAATTGGTTTTTATATTCTTTACTACATTTGGAAATATCCAACTTCTAGTAATTTTTACTTTAAGTACAAATTGGACAGAAGCTCAGTTTAGTAGCAAAGTAAAATTAGGTTATCTCAACAAATGATTTCTTATGTTCAGAAATCTTTCCTAATGGGAAAGAAATAGATGATACATAGTCTCCTCTCTCCAACACCAACCAGTATTGTTACTATTACCTTTTGAGGTTCCTCTACAGTTTCTCTTCCTCTTCACCAGATATCATTCTTTCCTGCTCCTTCCCACACACACCTTTCCCAACCTGGCTGCAAACACCCACTATTGGATACAAACAGACTCTGATTTCAAAAATAAATTAACTTATTCACTCACAGAACATATATGCACATTTCTATACCCAGTAATTTTTATTAAGACCATGCTGAGGTGGAAGAGTGCAATTTAATTAGGAAGAGAATGGGATTTTGGCAAAGCCAAGAGTGGTGAGATTCTTACGTAGGAGAACTAGTAATGCCAAGGCCAAGAGAATTACAGGATGAGGTCTGAACCAGAGGCCCAGTTGGGAGTTATTTTTAGTTCCAAAGGTAATGTGGACCGAAGAGTAATGTGAAATGTAGCGTACTATGTTAATGGAACTTGAGTCAGAAATAAAAGCAGAATCCTTTGCTCACATTAGTGAATGAGAGCCAAACTACAGGATGTGACATTCA